TCTTAATGTTAATAATGTCACCGCCGTTTTTGGTGGTGAAAATTCGAAATATTTGGAATTATTCAATTTTGTGGCTGAAAACATACATAGGTATTGTATTTTTGAAACGAGAGAGATGCATGAAACTACATTTGGAGAGGATATAGCTAATACGATGCAAAACATCGCCTTAATGTTAAAAATGCTATCACCGCCGTTCTTGGTGGTGAAAATTCGAAATATTTGGAATTATTCAATTTGTAGCTGAAAACATACATAGATATTGTATTTTCGAAACTGAGAGAGTTGCATTAACCAAATTTAGACAGGAAATATCTAATACAATGCGAAACATCGCCATAATGTTAAAGATGTTGTCATTGCCGTTTTTGGTGGTGAAAATTATTCAATTTTCGTGGCTGAATATATACATACATAGGTATTGCATTTTCGAAACCGAGAGAGTTGCCCTAATCAAATTTGGACAGGACATAGCTAATACAATGCAAAACATCGTCTTAATGTTAAAAATATTGTCACCACCGTTCTTGGTGGTGAAAATTCGAAATATTTGGAATTATTCAATTTTGTGGCTGAAAACATACAAAAAAACATTACAAACATTATTGTGTTTTCGAAACCAAAAGAGTTGCACTAACCAAATTTGGGTAGGACAATGCGAAACATCGCCTTAATGTTAAAAATGCTGTCGCCGCCGTTCTTGATGGCGAAAATACGAAATATTTGGTATTATTCAATTTTCGTGGCTGAAAATATACATACCTACAGGATTCATATTTTAAAAGTAATATAGAATCCCTGGCTTTTCCAGGTTCACCCTGACAAAGGGTCACCTATAGTTAATTTTTACATATTAATTGGTGTTTATGTATTAACCTTTTTCTAGCCTCGACTCCATAATCTTTTTTATACCCAAAGAACCTCTCATAAAGGTTACAAAACCACAAATAGTTTTCTCTTTCAAGAACCTAGGACCTGCTTTCACAAAATTTCCAGTAGCAAACGTCAAATTTCTCGACTATTTTGTTATGAAGAATAATGAATTCCCTGAGTTTTCCCGGTATTCCAGGTTTTCCAGGCCGTCACGAACCTTGAATACAATAGTGCTAAAATTAGTCTCTCTCCCTCATACTTATAGGTGGTGAGGAGGGGTAACTTTGAAATCTTATTTAGGAACCCCCATTTTTATTACAGATATTAATTCTACGGCTAAAGGTACGTAGGATTTGTCTGAAACATTATTTTCGATTCATGATATATGGCGCTGTAATCGACGAAATTCAATATTTTAAATTTCTTCTACTGAACCTAGGCATACGATTCTGCAATATGTTTGCAATAATGAACGGTTAAAAATCATCATATCCATAATGATAGCTTATTGATGTTACAAGAAAATATCAAGAAAATTATATTTACTTTATCCTGTTACCAAATGCCACCTACCTCCGTTAACCATAAGATGTCGCATTCTTTTAGAACATTAAAAGAAGTGTGGCGTTCTATCTTGAGACGATGCAAAAAGAGGGGTTTGTCAGAAAAGTGACTTTCCGCGCCTGTTAGGTCAAACGTTTGAGAGAATTAATCTTCGTTCCAGTGAATACGTTAAGACTGGTTTTGAAGCAACTGGAATTATTCAACTAAACAGATAGAATATTGAAAACAATAGTAGACTTTACGCCGTCAGTGTCACAAAACTACGTTCGAAATAGGTGAGCCTTGTATTTCGTAAAATTAGTCCCATTCAGAACTCCAAGAGGCCAAGAGGAAACAAACTCAACATTTTATTGAGTATTGGGAGAAGATAATGAAGAAGCCGATGCAAAATAGAATATACTGAATCAGAATCAATGAAGATTTTTCGAAAAAACAAGAACATGATAAAGGGTTAGAAAGGGAAAACGAATCTGAAAAAGAAAATAACTGTGATAATCCTTTGAAGACTGTTGCTCAATCTACAGTTTCTAGTCAGAATACAATGTAGAGATAGACAACGACATCCGAAAAAATTTAAATATTTCCCGTGCAAACATGTCTATCAATTTTTTAAGAAAAAAAATTCTGAGTCAAATGGTTACTTGTTTGACTTCCCAGATGTCCAAGATAAAACCTATGTTCTAATGATTGAAATTATATTCAAATTATATACTAGATGATTTGCGTAGATATAGTGTCAAGTTGAAAGAAAAACTTAAAATTACTGAATGGGCTCCTAAAACTAGTCTTTATTTTCTTAGAATGCTGTGTTATTTTATAATTTTATTTTTAAGGGTTCCTTAATAATTTTTTATAATATTTTAATTGTTGCATTTTTGTTGTGTAGGAATAATCAATATTATGTGTCAGTTTTCAATACCTACTTATGTATTGTCTTACCTTAAAACTTTACCATCTACAAACATGACATTGACTTTATTATGTGTTTTAGGGCTTATTCATCTTCACGCCATAAGGCGGAGTTAATCATGCATATTTCAAAACACAATCTTAATTTTTTTCCCAATTTTATTTTGACGAAATTAAAACATATTTCTTTCTTTGCCATTTTTTTTTTGGTATTTTTTAAATTTTCTTGTAGAAGATTAAAAATGAATTGTAAAAAAATTGTCCAATATCACCCTACCTGACGGTAATGTAAAAGTAAAAACAGCCTGTAGGTGTTACATTTTATTATATTCATTTTAGAATGAATGGAATGGGTACGAATTGGTAAAGAGTAAAATTTTGAATTGTCTAGAGCAGTGATATTCAACCAATGGTATGTAAAAAGGTACTCGAAGAGATTTCTTAGGATAAGTAGGTATATAGAGACGAAGAAAATTTTGTTAATTATTTATTAAAGAATTGCATTCGTTTCCGGTGTTCTACAGTGTTAAATAATTTTTTATTTGTTCATTTAAAAAATAAAAACCGCAACTGGGTTAATCTAGAAGCCATAAACTAAAGATATGTGCGCTAATAAGTAAGCCCAAATTCCTTTACCATTAATGTCTAAATTCCATTGTAAATGTACTAATGGTAATGTAGGTACTTTGTCACTAAAATAAGTAATTAGAAAACTCATATTTACTATCTAACATTTAACTCTAATCACTGGTCCTCTACTGACTCTAAAATGAAAGTATATTTTACCTCAATTCTTATTATATTAAGATTTAGAATAACGAGATTCTTGATAATATATTTTTTCAAGGGGTCCGCGATTTTCGTTAAAAATTCACAAATAACATTTTTAAAAATTCGGCTCTGAAAAAAATCGTAGTAGAATAGGATTTGAGGAGCCACATTTTGCAAATATGTATATTTTTAAGATTAGTTACTTGTTAAAATGATTAAGGTGGCCATATCCCTGGGCGAGAAATAGTCAAATTTCTGGCGTTTTTAGGTACTGAAAAAAGTAAAACGTGTAGAACAAAAGTAAGCACAAAAATAAAATCCTTGGTGTTCTGTTTATTCATTATTACTGTTTAAATTTACTCAAATAAAATACATAAAAAAGCGTTTGTAAAACATGCGTTTGCTGTTATCCTAAGCCCACATTTTAAGAATTATTTTCACGTACTTATAAATAAAAGTAAACAATTTTATATGTAGGACTAAGCAAGTAAATGTTATAAGAATATTTACATGATTGTGGAGTTATAAATATATAAAAAAGTTAGTATTTTCGTAGATTTTAGTACCTAAAACCTTGATGGTTTAATCGTTTTTTGCACCTGTTTATTCGTTTTACTGCGGCGTCTTTGAAAATACTCAGGCATGACATAACATTCCTATAAGCTTTAGATTATTCAGTTATTAAATGTTTGAAATTATTTGTCTTTGCGGAAAACACTATTTAAAGAATACGGCACCCTTAAAACAATCTACTTATATTACCAGCAGTGGCGGCTTTTGATTTCCATACCAGAGAGGCCAAAAAACTTTAGGTACAAAGTATTAAAAAATATATAATTGGGTAGTTTTATTTTAAGTACTATTGAAATATGGGATAAATATGTTCAACATTATTTCTTATAGTGAAAGTCAATTTTTCTGCTTTTGTTCGAAATAAGCTTTTCAATTACTTTTTCATTAAAGTTTGGTATTTCTAGCACCATTCATTTTGGGCGCGGCAGTAGCCGGAGCGGCCAAGGCAAAGGTAAAACCGTAGTGGGTTCGAATCCCGCACGCGGAATTTTCCTGTCGTACCCATGGATGTTTGTGATTGTTAAGATGGAGGGTAGTGTAAGTTAGCAGGCAAAAAGGGACATGGCCTAATTGTTGGTAACCTTCATGACCTTTACCTCTTTTTTACCATTCATTTTTCAATGTTGTAAAAAACAAGAAAAAATACGTAGGTATACACCACACGTAAACAAATTACGTTTGATAAGAAAAAAAGCGGCAAATAGCTTTTATTTGGTTATGAGCGTACCAAACAGCATAGTAAATATGCTCTACCCCCACTTCGTCTTTCACTGCTGCGCGACGGTAACCATGATTACCGCTGTAAACACTTTACAAATGTACAGCTAACTAGAAGCCCACGTAATCAGTGTTTTTCAATGAATTTTGCAAATTGAAATTGACTACACATTACAAATTCACCTTTTTCTTTTTAACTCGTTTTTATGGCTAAATTATTTAATTATGTAGATAACATAAACTAAATTTTGAATTAATTTTTTTTTACTATGAAAATGTGCCTCCCCCCCCCCAGCTGCCACTGATTTCCAGTGAAGAAAGCAATTATTATTTTCAATTAATATGTATTTATAATGGACATATTTGTCTGTAATATCTGTGGAAAATATAAAAAAATCCTTGGATAGCATTTGTAAGCAAAACACTGAGAAATTGAGTTCATGACGAACCCGTATCACTGAAAAGCTAAACAAATGCACGGCGAAGAAAATTGACGCTGAAGCGCAGTAGTTCGTAGAGCCAAGTTATTTCTGCAGCGTCTCATTGTAAATAGGGCTCGGGAGGGGTATATCACGGTCTCCCAACTATCCAGGATTTGTCCTGACTTATCCACGAATAATTGTGTCAGTTATTCGAAACCTGTTGAGTGTCAGCTCACTACTTCCGAAAAGTGCATACTATTTTACCATTCGAGATTTGCACATTCCCGTCTAAAAATATAATGTATTTTGGCTAGTTTATTTTTAAATTGTATTTACAACAAATCTTGCATCGTAAAATAGAAGTGTTTATATCGTGGTCAGTTTCAGTGCATATAGTTTAGTTTGACTAATGGGCAGAACACATGAAGTTGTTTTAAATTTGCGAAGAAGTTCCCCTAACGAACACTGGGGTTTTAGTTTAGTGGGAGGGTCAGATGTGAAAACTCCGCTAATTGTTACAAGAGTAAGTGTTTCTTTTAATCCCCTTCTTGTACAGTCGTTGCCTGTATAAATTACATAACAGTTATTGCTACAAGATATTGCCAACTACTTAGCAATTTACAGAATTATCAAATAATTGATTAATGGTGTTAACTGGTGTAGGTAAAAAAAATGAAAATAATAAAACCATTAAAATAATCAAAAAGTTAATTATTGTGTAGTGTACTAACTTCCAATGAAAGAGTCTTTATACTTTATTAAGCGTAGCATTTAAAAGTTTTGTTACGAATTATTGTATAGTTTTTTTTTATTGTAATACTTATTTTGTTAAAATAAGGTTATGTTATCTACAGTTGATATCAATAATTCAATTGATATCTGCAGAAACATTCCAAGAAATTCGTCCAAATGAAATCTCAGATACAGAGCATATTTAAATTAAGGAACACCAAATATCAAAATTTGATAATCGGAACAAATTTGCCTTAGTTCAATGTTGCTTTATTTGCAACTTACAAGGTGCTTGATTTGTAATTGAAAAAATTATATTATTGTTTGTAATTGCAAAACCAATGATCTTTAAATTTGGCATGTAGTATATATGACCTTCTGTTAACATACAAAATTTCAACTCAGTATGTGATATGCTATTTTTTATGAACAAGCAGCTTTACAAAACAAAAAATGTTATGCCTCTGATAAAATTAAACAGTTTCGTTGAATTATACAATCAATTTACTAAAAAGATAGTACAGGTTTGCTGAATATGTTGATCATGTACTATGCAAAAAGGAATTCAATTATTAACTCGTAATATTGCAGGAGACAACTACTCTGCAGGCTAATGCCCCCACCAACATTGAATTATACTCCCCATATCTAGTAAACTGCCAGGATATTATACCAATGAGAACTAATAAATTCAAAACCGTATTTGTCTGGTGGTCATACTGACGAATTATCCTAATTGTGTACTAGATATTGCGGGTATAATTCAATGCTAATCGGGGCATTAGTCCTAAGAGTAGTTCATTTTCGCAATATCATCGGTTAAAAAATGTTTTGCAGAGTGACGATCTACTTGACAAATAATACTTTGTTACATTTTATCCAATTAAATTCATATTAAACTTTATAATTAACAAAACAAACAAAAATACACACATTAAAAATTATTTCCAAAATTCTCCCTCTTTCGTTTCGTTTTGGCCAGTGGCGTACTGTTTATTGTTAGCACGTTATATAGGATAGGGTGTTCCAGAATATGTGGGCAATCTCTCAGCTCAGCTTTGTGCAGGGGACGTTAAAATCATATGACAAGTCCCTATAAAAATTTTCCTAGATGGCCCCCCTACGGAGATATAGACCTTCAAAGGTCACCCCTGGAAATCGATTTTTTTTTAATAGATTTTAAAATGCGTTGTGTAATTTAATTATTTTTAGGAAAAAATAAATGTAAATAAAAGCATTTTTTAGATAGGCACAAAAACAATGCATATTTCATCGATTTATTTCTCTTTGATGTATAATAAAAATCATATTAAACAAAATCAGTTTTTCCTCGAAAACAGTTTATTTTATCGATATTAACCAAGAGTGCATTTTTTAGTTTAAGGTTCAAGCTATCTTAAAATATTATTTTTATGCTTTTATCGTAAAGGGTGTAAAAAAATTTGACATTATTGTGCTACAGCTAGTCCGTCTGTGGCAAAAAAATAATCCAAATTGTTTTCGTGGGTCAATTTTTTAAGGAGTCTTATTTATTGTCCATCATATTAAAAAATTATACGTCCTCTGTATAAATCCGAGAGATTGCCCTCATATTTTGGGACACCCTGTATACTGAATTGATTCGTTTGGCAGTTGCAGAAATATATATGTTTTGATGATGAATTAAAAAAAACACCGTAACCCACAAATGCTGCAACTTTGGACTGAGTTATATCGACTCCAATTATCATACACTGATTTAAAGATATTCTGGCTTGTGTTTTTAGTGAATAGGATTTGAGAGTTTCCTAGATATGTAAGTTTAAAATCATCTTTATTCTTTTAACTTCGTTTTTTATTAAATTTTCAGATATTGGATGTTTTATTTTTATTGATCTCAGCTAACCACTAATTTATTTGAAAACATCACAGGTTTGATAGATATAATGTAGTAATAATAGCACTAGAATGGGGATTCTAAATTTTAAACATAAAATCTTTCATGAACGCTACATAGATAGATTATAATCTATCCTTCACTCTAAATGAATTTTTGCACATACATTTTTAAAATCAGTAACGTAATGAACTGCTAGTTAAATTTCGCAGCAGTAACTGTAATCTATCTGAGTATCTATATACAACAAGCTCATTGAAATTAGGTTTCCTTATTATTATAATCAAAACAGAACTTTGGTTAGTAACAACTAAAACCGTTTCAAAATATATTCGCGTTTAACCATTGTTACTGCACATATTTCAGCGTATTGTTAGACATTTATTTCAGTTCAGTTTAAATGAAAGTTGTTCATCGAATTTAAATTGTTCGGGGCTTTGGCATCCCACCAGAAGAAATAAACGATGGTGCGAACTTCAATGTAAACGCGTTATCGTGTTTTGGTTTACAGAATTACTAATGCAATTGCACTCCGAAATGTTACCTCCCACAATGATAATCAGCCCTATGCTGTAAAAACATTGAAATTAATTTCAACCTTGATATGAAGTCAATGTTCATACAGCATAGGGCTGAATAACTGATAGATGATTGCTGATAAATGTATTTATCTTTGCCAGGTCGGATTTGGCTCCCCCGTCGAGGGTGTCCTTCATCGGGGTGACATCATCACCAAGGTGGGAAACTATGACTCGAGAGATATTCGTCACCAAGACGCCCAAAACTTATTTAAAAATGCTGGCAACAACATTCGGGTTGTAGTTCAGAGGTAAGTCGGACTATGTGTCAACAACTGCATCTACACTATGACCTGCACTTGATCAAGGGTATATTTTGGTTCTGTGTTTTTTGGTCATACTCTTGTACCTGTAAGGGTATGGTAAATATCCCTTTTAGTTTCGAATATGCCCCTGAACAAATAAAATAACATATTCACTTACAATTAGTAGGTTAGTATGTCTTTTTTCATGTAAAGTTATGAAAATAAAATTATGTTTCATTTATTTTTTATCAAGGTATCAAATATATTTGTCCAAATTTATATTATATTAAAACAATTATAAATAATGTCGCCATGAAAGTAAAGGAACATATTTTTACTCTGTTAATGTATTAAGCTAATTTAAACAAATCCTATTCTATGAAGTCAAACTATAATCTTCGATACCAGAAATCTAGGTATGCAGAAGACATCTAACTTCAAAGACATGATTGCCAACTGCTGATACAGTCTTTCCGAAGTCAGTTGAACATGTATAAAAACGCCTAGCATTAAAATTTAATGAGTTTCATAGGCGTCCCTAAAAAAAGTTTTCTGTTAAAGGTAAAAAATTATAATAATTAATATATAATGTGCAGAAAATTTGTATAATATGTTCATTTGATTTTAATTATTTATGTCCTCAAACAGTTTATTATATTGATGGTAAATTTCGTTTTGTTCCGTTTCAAAAGGGCGCTCTTATTTCTTCCTTTCGCAATTGTAATATGAATGATTAATAGAAGGTGCCTATAATAAATTAAAATTACCTGAATCACTCCAAATTCCGTATTGCTGCACTGCACTGCTAGGCCGTTTGTTGACAACTGAATTTATGGTCAGATCGCCCAGTGCGACTGTGTTTGTGCCGCTTTTGCCGCGCGCGCCCATTCTTCAACTGGGCGATCAGACATGTATATGGGTATATGTAAATAAATATGGAAACAAGTTTTTCAAATATTTCAATGTCGAATTGCTGCGTCAGCGACCGAACCTGGCACATACTGCTAACCTCTTGGTTCTTCAATTAAGATCGGAAAGACGATACTGCGGGAAACAACAATTTTAGGCTACATGCTCTAACTATTATTATTAGAATACACCATGCTAATATTCATTAAACAGTTAGTAAAAAATAATTATCTAAAATAAAATGAAAGGTTTATAATTAATAGAAAAAGACATACCTGATATGTTTACATTCTTGAATAATGCAATCATTCAGAGAAACATCCTATATTATTGCTTGTACCTTTGACAAACTTTGATTACGTAAAAATCAGCTGCTATAAAGAGATCTTTTTGTTTCTACATTTTACTTCGGTTTGTTCCACCAAGCAATTGATAATTAAAAAAACATAAAACTAATCCTCACGTATTCACTCAAAATCTTTCAGAACCTAAAATGTAGGTATTAAGTAAAATGTAATGGTCGGAACTTTAGTTTTTTAAAATATAAATATTTTATTTCTATTTTACCCTCTCTTGCACTATATTCGACATATGAAACAAAATTCTCAGTAATAGTAGACATTTTATAGAAAAACTGAAAGACTTGACCCATAGAAATCTGGGACTTCCTCTACATATTTGCTGGGCAAATTGAGAAAATGACGTTATTTCTGTTACTTGAATTTGCAACGCTAAAAGCTAAAAGAGACAATTCTATAATAAAAGAGATGATGTTTTAGACAATTTTAAGAAAATAGTTCCTAAGAACGTTTGTTTAAATATCTTTGAGATGTTTAATCTGAACTAATGAAACTTATCCAATTACAGACAAAAATTCTTTGAAATGAAAGTAATAAATAAAAATCCCAGAATTTCGACGCCACTGAGTACCTTCGAAAGCTGAATAAGTGCATTTAATTTCAGATTTTATTCAAAAACCCAGTCATATTTAGTAATTATATTTAAAATTGAATATAAACTTATTCGAAATACATTTTTAATTATAATGTAATTACCAATAAATCAGAACAATCTTTAACGTATAAGTTTGTAATTAAAGTCTTAAGGCATTGACAAAGTACAGCAGTTAACTGATATTTTGGTACAAAATCAATATTGCCAAGCTTAAGATCTAAGTTTGATAATCCAATGTTTTCATCTAAAATACTACAACAATAATTTCAATTTTAATCGTTTTTTTAATAAAATAACACAAATTGACATGTCAAGCCACTATGTTGGCGCAAACAAGAACAATCAGTTGTAGACTTGGTCAAACTAGGAACTTTATTTTTAATCTGAGGAATATCGAGGGTCTTTAAAAAATTAATATAAGTTTTTACGCCAATGCATTTTTTGGACTTTTCATGATTAAGTACATTATATTTAAAATTGTATTTTGGACAAAAAGTTGCTACCATTTTTTAGTGGATCGAATAATAATTTAAAGCCATTTGTGATTAACTGTTCATGTGATCTAGTAAGTTCAGTTTAGAATTTTAAAAATAATTACTCAATAATGTTTCGTTTTTCGAATAAAATACTTTAATTCTTAGGAGCAATATTAGAAATTTATGCTACTTATTCAATTTCCAAAACATCCGGCTGCATCGAAATTAAGCGGTTTTTATTGACAGTATATTTGCAACTGTTTTGTAACACAATTCGATAGGTTTTGCATTTTTTTCATTCATGAGATACTTAATTGTATCAAGAATTTTGATTTTCTTTCTTTACGTAAATATCATGTACGATACATTACTTGAAGAAACATCCTACTTACATTTTGTCTGTCTTGTCGGAAAATCGGGAAATACAAGCCTCCCAAAAGTCGAATTTGGGCCACCCTTTAAAAGTGAAATTTACAATTTTTGGAGCTAAAATATTGAAAAATAGGCTAAACATTTTTTTTTAAAATACATTATATTGTCTTGTATCTGGAAAGTGTAGAACATAAGTTTGTGACTTTCTTCTGTATTGCTTGCCGAACTAAGTTACTCTAGTTACAATTCTGTTTCGGAAACTTTGAAAATATTATCTTCTAGATAATGATTCTCCATAGAGTGAGGTAGTTTTTTAGTTTTTAGTTCAGTATAAGTTTCCTCTCATCGTCAGACATTCGTAGTTATAGTTTTTGTCAGAATTTCCTGGCAAATCGACAGAAGTTTGTTCCATCCCACTGTTTTTAGTAGTGTCGGTGGGTGTTTTACTATTGCTGTGATCAGCAGGGAACTAGAATTAAAAATATTTAGATCAGACTCTTTATTTCCGTTCTGGTGTGCGCGTCTCTTGATACTTAAATTAATTTAACAGTTACCTACTTAACTAAATACTTTTTAACTGGGATAATTAACTTGAAAGAAATCCTCGAGTGCATCACGCCATGTAAGTATTAAGAGCTATAATATTCCACTGAATAATAGCACTTATTTTTTGAGATTTGATTAGGAATAAATATGTAGAAATAGTGACTTTTCTTTTCGCGCAAGGCATAAGACCAGTTCGGATTGGTTACTATTTTAAAACTAAAAGTAACTACTTACTTGAGATTTCACTAGTTGATAGCAAAAATAAGTTATTAAATCCATCCTTGGAGTTACTTACTTTAATTCTATTTTCCCTAGAAGAATTTTGCAGTGAATGCAGATGCATTAAGAATTATTTGCTCCGCCTATGATTTCTCCTTAAAATCTATTAATAAAATTAAAATTGATTTCATCATACGTATATATTCTCTCGTTATCATTAGTCTGGGCTTCCACTGGAGCTGAAAGAAAAATGCAATAAACAAGTAAAAAATTGGCAAGCAAACGCGATCTAATTTTAATCCAATAATATTCGCTGTCCTACAAACCACACGTCATTAATTTCTTGAGAATTAATATCAGGATATAAATTTGGCTGTAACGATATATAAAATAGTGACCCAAATTCTACATTAAAATAACATTATCGTTGAGATATGAAGTAAAAGTCCATTCAACTCAAAATATATCTGTTTTATTTTTTTATATAATTTAATTTTCATTTATTATATATTTCATTAGACTATAGTTGGGCCATTTTGGGATGCTACAGTTTAAATTTAGGGGTCAAACAAATCCTGGCTAACTTGATCGGTTTTCCGATATACAGAGAATTTCTCGAAATTGGCCTCTATTTTTATTGGCCCTATATCGGTTCTTATAAGCGATAAACGACCCTTATAGCATTTTTTCCAAAGAGCCCAGTGTATGAAGAAATGGTACTAACATATTTTATTATTTTATTTCTAATAGAGCACTCATCTATATTAATTTCATTTTTTTTATAACCTCTAGACAACAATGTGTAAAAATATACAGGGTGTTCTGTTAAAAATAACAAACTTCAGTGGAATGTCTCCGAAAATATGAAAATAAGATTAAAATTGAAGACGCCGCTATATTCTATTTTTTTATATATCTTGTAATATCCGAATATAGAAGTAGGTCTAATTATTAAATTAATATATTAATTAAAAGTATTTTTATACGTTTACCTTGAAGCCTTTTATTATGAGATTGCGAGTGTTAAAATAGTTTCTAATTATATTCTGAACAAATGAAGATACTGAAATTTTATATGCATCCACCCTAATAAAAATTGAGTAAATTTTCTCTCAAAATTAACTTAATTTTTTTGTTAAAATGAATCCACACCCATTTGTGTTGAAACTACTACTGTTCACTCAATTATTTGCTAGTTAAATACCTAAATCCTATATTCATTAACTTGAGTTAACTTGCTAAAGTACATGTGTCATATTGGTATGCCATACATAATAGTAAGTTACTATTATGTAGTTACTATTAGTAAAATTACTAAAATCAATTCTTGATTGCAACTAAGAAAACGTATTTACCTACGACCACTACCGTAAATACTTAAAAACACACCGTTTGCGATCAATGTAAGATTCCTATTAGGTACGGTAAAAAAATCGCAGTTTTCCTAGCAACCGCCTAGCAACGGTCAATACAACACTGTTTGTATTGACCGTTGCTAGAACTGTACGATTTTTTTACCAAGCTGTGCGATTTTTTTACCGTACGTAAAATAGGAATCTTCGCATCGCAGACGGTGTGTTTTTAAGTATTTACAGTAGTGGTCGTAGGTAAAGTATAGTACGTAATACGTGGTGTAATGCAATTACGCACTCGCCGCTACGCGGCGTCGTGCGTAACTTTTCCATTCGTGCGTAAAATGCTTTTTACAATACTTATTACGTAATATACTATTATTGTTTGACAGCAACTCGCAAACTGCGCGTTGTTATCTGTTTCAACACAACTTTGTGTTCTCCATACTCAGAAATGCACAACGTAATGATTTTTACTTACGACCACTACTGTAAGTACTTAAAAACACACTGTCTGAGATCAATGTAAGATTCCTATTACGTACGGTAAAAAAAACGCACAGTTTTCCTAGCAACTGCCTATCAACGGCCAATACAATACTGTTTGTATTGACCGTTGCTAGGCGGTTACTAGGAAAACTGTAAGATTTTTTTTACCAAGCTGTGCAATTTTTTTACCGTACGACGTAATAGGAATCTTGCATTGATCGCAGACGGTATGATTTTAAGTATTTAAAGTAGTGGTCGTAGGTAAAGTATAGTACGTAATACGTGGTGTAATGCAATTACGCACTCATAGAATTACGCACTCGCCGCTACGCGGCGTCGTGCGTAACTTTTCCATTCGTGCGTCAAATGCTTTTTACAACACTTATTACGTAATATACTATTACACAGTATGTTCTCAGGTATTTTAGTCTTGTTAAATTCAATATCACAAACATTTATTTCACTCCAAAATAACCTTGAATTTACATTTTCTACCATGTAGTAGGCGAACAAAGTGAGATACAACGTGAAGAAATTGAGAAGTGCTCGAAATAAAAATTTCGCCATGTACTGGAAACAAAATAATTTTTTGTCATTTTTTAAATTTAAAATTTATTTTGAGCGAAAATTATCTCTCGACTTTTTTGCGTCAGTATTGCACCGTTTGGTATAATTTAATAATTTAGGTGTTTAAAAAGGGGTTCCTGTGTCTCTATAAATTTTTCAGTGTACTTTGGAATGTATACAAAATTTTATTCTAAAAATTATTATTATTACTATTAATACAAATTTATTTTTCTTAGTTTTTTACTATAGAAAAAACAGAATTTTAACATGACTCTAAAATTTATTTATCAACTTGGGAAAACAATTCACTCATTATTTCATCGCTAATAAATTTATAGTTTCCGTTCGTCCATAAATTACATTTTTATCGTCTTGTATAAAATACAACACTTTTTTTAATAAATTATTTTAGAATAGATACATTCTAATTCTACTTGATATATATTCCTATGCGTGTTCCATTGAAACTAGAGGCCTATGTGATTTTTTTTATTTTGTCGTGTATTTATATTTTAAATAAATTCTAACAGCCTATTTTTATCTTATAAACTCTGTTACGTAAACTGTTAGGTATATGGAGCTAGGACAAAATGTAAACATTTTGAGAAAGTTCAAAGTCATAAATTAGATAGTACCAATCTATGAACAGAATATGGTTTGATTAGATGTAGATACTCATAATAGAAACTTTCCTTCCATCATACATATATTAAAGAACTGAATATGAAAACGTTGTGTTCATAGGCATTAAGTAACACCCACGTAATATATAAGCAATTCTTAAGTAGGTACGTTCCAATAGTAATTGCTAAGTTCCTATAGACGTATGTAATAAAGTTTAGTTTTCAAATTGTGTTAAACTTTTTAAAAAAATATATTCACGCAATATCTTGGTTTCATTTTTGGAATAAATTAGAAGTTATTCTTTTCTAAATATATAACAATTATGAATTAAATAGATTTATCAAGTTTGTAAAACTCTCATTGCGTCGGAATTCTGAGATTCTCTGTAACAATATTTTCTCAAGCATCTATCTGGTTGCAATAACTGCATACAAATTCAATGAATTTTTATCTTTAACTAACTGTTCAATAATCTACGTCAAATATATTTTGAGATATCTGCATAAATGTAACACTCTGTATTTTAAAACTAAGCTGTGTAAGAAATACTTTCAAAGGAACTTTAAAAATAAAGAAAAAAACTGATTCAACTTTTGCTTTCAGGGATAGTACTCCGCGTCATAATACCAGCACGGGATCGTCAAGGACCAGCTCTCACAACTATAGTCCTCTCTCAGTTTCCCCTCACCTTTCACCGAGAGGGCCTGGATACACTCCACCAGGCTATAGCCCCGGAGGGTCAGCTCTAACTCCATATTATTCGACACCTCTGACGCCTATTGACAACAACTATTTCGAGATTTACGAGCATGGCCACCATAGGAAGGATAGCGGCGATGAGGACATTCATGTTACTAAACAGGTAAGTCATCTTTTATTTGAAATCATGTTGACAGAGCATCAAAACGTTGCTGCTGAAAGTGGTTTGGAAGTTAAGACAGTATTTAAGAAAATAACAGCAAATTTAGTATTTTGATATGTTTAAATCGTTAGAGATAAAAAAGAACTAATCAAAGTAACTTGTTTATTAAATCGGGGAAAAACATTCTTGGTTGTACCGCCAATCTAAGTTAGTCCTCTCAAGGTGTCATTCAATGCTTCAGAGGCACAATGAGAAGAGGTAGGGTTAGGATTCTAGACTGAGACACCTGCAGGACGAAATTTCAAATTCCAAACTGAAGTACATTTTAATAATGATTTTATGGCTATCAGAACCCTTGCTGATGTGTAAAGTACCATGGTTTTTCGGGTTATTATGCCGTGGCATATGTATGCCAATAAAAGACCGGCTTAACCCTCTGTTCTCCTTGGAATAAATCGCATAGCATGTGAATGCGGAAAGGATTATATAGGTGAGACAAAGAAGGAAGGAACATGAAAGGGCCTTAAGACTCAACCAGCCTGAGAAATCAGACATCGCCCAACATGCTTTAAATGGAGGAAAAGCAATAAATTTTGAAGACACCTCGGAAGACACCGAGGTAGGTACTTGCGAGAACGACAAGGTTTTACATTCTGGTAAGAAGACAAGCATAGGAAATTGAATAACATTCAAATGAACCATGTTGAAGGTTTTCGGGTGATTAATACCTGGTTACCTCACCTAAAAGAACAAGCAACGACGAAAGAGATGAGAAGAGTGATGCACCATCGCGCAGGTCTGAAAGCATATGCAACGACTTTACCCCACTCCACATGTCTATGACGTCATCGGCGACGCAAGCGGTACTTTCACAATCACTATAAAACAGGTGACGAGGTTGCAAGCGGCCTCCAGCGATGAAGTGGGTAAAGAGCGATAATACCGCTTGACCTCGTTCCATCCGAGGTCATAAATCCTGCTAAGGATATTGGCGCAAGCGGCCTCAGACGCTGAGAATCATTTGAAGGCAGTGTAGTATGGCGAAACGTTTGAAAGCATTGCATGCGATCAGTTACGGATGCCACTACGGAACGTCTCACAGGATTGTCATTGACTGAGTCCTTGTCGTTTCCATCCGTAGCTGCTTTAGAACTAACAAGAATTTCGTACTTTTAATATATAGTATCGTCATCTATACGTAAAAGTCCTTTAGAACACTTTTATATTTTTTAACCTCCAACAGTATGTTTACGATGCACTGTTCATTGCTTTGCTCTTTTTTTATGTGTATTACCTGCTCCCAGAAAGAAGGAGATATCGTTTTCGGGGAAAAACTTGATTTAAGAAATAATATATTACAGGAGACCACTTATTGAACAGAAACAATAACTGCACTATAATTTATAATTTTTCAGAAAATTTGCATGTCATGAAAGTTTCTAAAACTCACTAAATTCATGTTGTGTTTTTCTAATAGCTTTAATACCTATTAGACTAGGCGGTATCTGTTTTGGTTAGGGTGAATCGTATATTCACGGAGATTTTTAGCTATTTGGCTTTCAAATATCACTAGAAATGAAAATTTTTCTATGCGCATAAAAAAAACGTGGGCTTAACTTTTGGCGGCACAATATATTAAAAAAAAATCGGAAAATGTTATATTTTTCTTCCTATTTAATAATGTATCTTTTCAAGAGATGATTTTAGGCGAAAATGGAAGAGGAAAAAAATGTTTGTAATTCAATTTTACAAAATATGATTGGTTACAAATCGAATGAATCATGATTATTATTGTAAAACTCGAAAAAATCGCTAAAAACGGGCTTAAAAAACATTACTTTTTAATGAATTTTTTTGGGGTCTTTAAGTTGGACCCTCATACTTGGCTCAAGAAAAGTTCATGTTATGTAGAATCATCACACCAAATTTCATCAAAATCGGTTCGATAGATTTTGCATAATAATTTTGCAATCCAGGTTTTGAAAAAAAATTGCAAATTTTCAAAATTTTGCACAGCAAAAACCAAAGCCCTTAGATACTTGAAAATTGAATTACATATGGAAGAGCTCTCAAGCTTTCAAACGCTTTTTGAAAAATTTGAATCCGTCAATTAGGAGAGCTCTGGCACTTGTTTAAACATTGGTCGAATTTTTGTACTTATAAACAATTAGACACAACTTTGTGAATATTCAATCAAATCAAATTTTTTAGAGCAGGTTTTAAAAGTTATTGGAAAGACGCTTCTTAAAAAAAAACAGATCGATAGGTCAATTAGTTTCGTAGTAATAGCCGATCAAAGTTAACCGTCATTTACACTAAATGTACAGGGACATCAGGTCTAATTTTTCGAAAAATACCTTTGGTATTCCGAGTACTTACCAGGTCTAAGTTCGCAATACTTTTCTTCATTGGAGACCTACTTTAAAACGCGTTTAAGAGTTATTTATGCAAGCGAGAAATTCAAGAAAATCGTACGGGTGGTGGAGGTGGGGAAACCAGAGAGCGCGGCCGCTTCGGCCTGCTCGAAATTGAATCGACGAGTTCAAAACCGCGACACGCTTAAAAATTTTTAATATCTCGGTTCTAAAGGTCCGATTTTGATGATTTTTTTTTAAATCGATGTCTCGCGATTTAAAAAAAAAACAATTAGCGTATTTTCAAATGCCTATCGTTAATAATTATTGGTCTTTCAACAGTCCGATATCTTTAAATTTAAACATCCTTTAATTATCAACTTAATTTTTTTATTGTATCAAAGGTAAGTGCATAAACTTATATACTGTTTATCAAAGATCAAAAACAAATTTATTTAAATATTCTAAAATTGTTTAAACAACAATTATATTCAAAATGACGAAAATTATTAATTAATTAATTTAATTTAATCATAATTTTTTTTGTGATTAAAGTATAATTCAAATATTATTTACTGTTTAAAATATAAGTAAATGAGAAATTAACTCATTATATTACAAAAATACAAAATTATAGTACAAAAATTCGACCAATGTTTAAACAAGCGCCAGAGCTCTCCTAATTGACGGATTCGAATTTTTCAAAAAGCGTTTGAAAGCTTGAGAGCCCTTCTATATGTGATTAAATTTTCAAGTATCTAAGGGCCTTGGTTTTTGCTGTGCAAAATTTTGAAAATTTGCAATTTTTTTTTCAAAATCTGGATTGCAAAATTATTATGCAAAATCTATCGAACCGATTTTGATGAAATTTGGTGTGATGATTCTACATAACATGAAGTTTTCTTGAGCCAAGTATGAAGGTCCTATACCCAATTTAAAGACCCCAAAAAAATTCCCTAAAAAGTAATGTTTTTTAACCCCATTTTTGGCGATTTTTTCGATTTTTACAATAATAATCATGATTCATTCGATTTGTAACTAGTCATATTTTGTAAAAAATTTAATTACAAACATTTTTTTCCTCTTCCATTTTCGCCTAAAATCAACTCTTGAAAAGATACATAATTAAATAGGAAGAAAAATATGACATTTTTCGAATTTTTTTAACATATTGTGCCGCCAAAAGTTAAGCCCACGTTTTTTTTATGCGCATAGAAAAATTTTCATTTCTAGTGATATTTTAAAGCCAAAAAGCCAAAAATATCCGTGGATATACGATTCACCCAAATATGGACTCTGAAACAGATACCGTCTGGACTATATACATAATTTAAACATGCAAGAAATTTAAGTACATTATTCTATTAATTATTATGTCCCAAATAAAAAAATACTATAATTTTACAGAACTTTTTTAATTTGCTTTTTTAACAGAGCTTAAAGACGTTTTAGGAAAAATCATAGACAAAAGGCTAACGACTCAACAATTTCAAAAAATTTCAAGGCTTTCTTCCTGGAAACAGTTACGATTTATTTATGCGACACATATCTAAACATTTCTAAGCAATCACCAGACCAGACTTCTAGACTACAATTTATATGTCAACTATTATAAAACTGGCAGTTTGCGGTTATGGTGACCGCGTTGATTCTTACAGATGGTCTATTTTAAAATTTTTCCTGCTTCTTTCTCTCTCAGTTGGCTCGGGAAAGCAGTCAATGACAAAACAAATGTTTAGATCTAATTAATTTTTTGAATGGAATCAGTTCTTTCATGAATACCTGCCTGGCTGGCTGTTTTGTCCATCTGCCTATTTATAACATTGATTTTTGTTTGCTGCTAATTTAAAACTTTTAATTTCGACTGTTCAAGTAATTGTTACAATTGAACAAAGTTAAACCTACTAACTTTTAGAGCAAAAATCAATCATGACAATAGCAAACCACAATCCATGATAGACTTGCCCACAACTTCAGTCGGATTAACTATAATAATAAACACGTTTAAGGAATCTATTTTTTTAATATTCAAAATTAAAACGAGTCAAGATTCTAAAATTTTATGTAGTAAAGATTTAATTCCCAAAATTCCCAAAATTCCCAAAGGTGACAAATAAGTTAATATTAGTTCTATCATCATCTATGTATTGAAGCTAGGAAGATTATCATAGTTTTTATATGTAATTACCTGCTTGTACCAATATAATTGGTCGATTTTGTAAATCAATTTACAAGGTTCAAAATTAGTACATGAACAACATATTTAAACTGTAAACAACTCTAACTCACTCACATTTTCGAATATTTTCAAAAAAATACAATGCAATGATATTTTTTCTAGATGAATATTTTCAAATGGTACTCGCCTACGAGAACCAGTGAGTAATATCAAGTTTCGATACTTGGCAACGTCAGTATTGACCTCGTCTACGTATACTATGTGATATACAAATTTATAAATATACTTACGCCTCTGTAACACTAGAATGTATCATCGGAGGATCAATAGACTGAATCGTTCGAAAATGAATTTTCCCTGAAATGTAGTAGTAATCCTACGTTTTACTTCCACATGTTTTCCCTAAAGCAGTTTGATACAGTATTCATTTTTAGTACCCTCTGTTCCTATTTAAAAATTAGATCAAA